AAAAAAAAAAAAAAAAAAAAAAAAAAAAAAAAAAAAAAAAAAAAAGTTTAAAAGTTCTTATTAATTTGTACGGCTTTTTTGAATTATTATCGTATTCGGGACATCCAAATATACTTTTATCGAACATTTTAAAATACACAAACTAAAATAGAACGAGTAAAATAACCCAACTTTAACCTAAGAAATGTGGAGAGATTAAAGTAGATTTTTCATTTATTTATTTATTTTTTTTTTTGTAAAAAGAATAAATAGCGATTAGATCTTTAATGGTGGTCAATAAGAAGAATACCAATGACCAAAAAAGAGCAAATTAATTGTTCATACATATAAAATGATGAAAATCATACATGGATGTTATCGTTCATATAGCTCCAAGCCAGCAAGTAGTTAGCCTTCCTCTACAAAGAATGTACGAGTAAATATTACATAGAGAAGGAAAATATAGGGAGAGAGAGAGAAAAGAGATGGTTTAGGGTTCAAAGTGAATATGTATTTAACGAAAAGCTAACCTGTTGGCACACAAATGTACAACAAAAGGAAGAAAGTATGGAGTTCCAATTAGAAAGGCAAAAGGCAACCTATGAGATGAGCCAGAAACTAGGCGTGTGAAGTTAACCTGCAACCAAGAACTACATAAAATAATGATTAGACTCTAAGAATTTATCTGTCCAGGTTACTTTTAGATTCATTTGCTTCCACCTTTTGCTGCATTTCATCGACGAGGAGCTACCAACAATAGATTTTTCGTACCTGATTTGCACCAAAACAGACGGGAAATGAGAAAGGAGAACGTGACAAGGCAAAAAATAAGCTAAACTAGTCCCTATAATACATCAATGATCTAGTTATATAGTAACATGAAGTGACATGTGATATATTTAGCTATATGGTAACATGAAGTGACATGATGTCATGTAAAGATAAACTAGCCGCTACGAAATGTCAATGATCTAGTAATATAGTAACATGAAGTGACATGACGTCATGTAAAACTAAACTAGTCGCTATGAAACATCAATGATCTAGTTATATAGTAACATGAAGTGACATGACGTCATGTAAAGCTAAACTAGTCGCTACGAAACGTCAATGATCTAATTATATAGTAACATGAAGTGACATGACGTCATGTAAAGCTAAACTAGTCGCTACGAAACGTCAATGATCTAGTTATATAGTAACATGAAGTGACATGACGTCATGTAAAGCCGTCATGTAAAGCTAAATAGTCGCTACGAAACATCAATGATCAAGTTATATAGTAAAGTGACATGACGTCATGTAAAGCTACATAGTCGTTATGCAACAACAATGATCTAGTTATATAGTAACATTAAGTGACATGATGTCATATTAAGTCTATATGACGATGGCTACATCATATAAAAGCTGAGCTAACATCGAGTTGATTAAATTATGGTCGTGTTCTATGTTCTAGATTGAAGAGTAAAACGACTAAAATGTTAGAAGTGCCAAACTAAAATGGCAAAAATTATAGTTTAACCAAAATAATTTAAGAGCTGAAGAGCTGAATAATGGCATAATGCAAATAATCATTTAATACCTCAAGATGGTGCACTATATCCACTCTCTTTTGTAGTTATAATTCTTTTGTTATTAACAGCAGAGGGAGAGCTTTTTGGTATTCTCCTTTGATCTCCTTTTGTACTTTTCATTTTATCAATGAAAAGTTTGGCATCTTATCAAAAGTTAAAAAAAGAACAAGAGGTAAATAATATGGAAATCATTGGAGTAAAAACAACAGTACTTAGATTTTCATACTTGATGCGGATGGAGCCTTTGAGAAGCTTTTCGTCAGTGAAACTCTCGACGGTTTCGCTTGCACGGGCCTTTGTGGGGGCCTGAGGCCTGTCTTCAATGGTGCATTGGTTCTGCATAAAACAGGGAGCAAACAGGGAGCAAAGATTAGTAGGGTGAACCATCAGTGACGTGAGGCTCTCGACGTTCCGGTTCGAGGAAAAGAGGAAGGGTCATAGTCTTATAGCAGCTGGACTTAGCAGAGTTCGTCAATTAAATTATGAATGAAATTAAGAGAGTAATCTGAACCTCAAGTCTATCAGAAATATTCTAAGAGGGAATGGTAATTACTTACTTTTCTGGAATAGGAACCAAAGACTTCCCCCCAGTTGTTGCACTCTCAGCTAGACCTTTTACATCCAACGAGCTCTCTGGGTGTTTGGTATCGGCAAACGAACCATCTGATGGCTTTGAGACTTCAGGGAATAAAGTGTATTCCACAACACTGCAAAGCGATCCATCAGTTTCAGTCCCCATCGAAAGGCCGCCATCTGATATGTCACTTAATCTCTCATCAGAATCAGCATTCCCAAAGCCTAAAAGCTCAACATCATCAGTAACATTCTGACCTAAAGCTCTTGATTGTGAAGAAAATTCCTTCTGTTGTCTAAAGTCCTCTACAGACAGATGCGTCGATCCTGATCCAGAACGCTTATGATGTCTAAAATCCTCTATAGATAGATGCGTTGATCCTGATCCAGAACGATTATGATGTCTGAAGTCCTCCATAGATTGATATGATCCACATTCAGAACGCCTATCACAATCGGAGTAGTTGTCGTGGTCAGATGTTGCTTTACTAATCAACCCTAAGCCTCTTCTCCCTGATGGCTTTTGGCTTGGCCGAGGCGTTACGCTAGAGTGCTTTCTAGGGGAAAATGATTCATATCTTAGGGAACCAACGCCATGCTTTACGCCATTGCTATTAGTTTTAAGCAACTGCAACCGCTCAATATCCTCATCTTTACTTGCAATGGTATCCTTGAGAACTGCCACCTGCAAAATCAACATCTCATGAAGTTCAATCACTCAAAAACTGCTTGATAAAAGAAATCAAATAGCGAAGAGAACTCGTCCGGACCTGATCCATCAGTTCTCTAACATATCTACCCTCTTTATTGCTGCGAGCAGCACCCAACTCCACACCAGAAACTCTTTCTGCAAACTTCAAGGTGCTTATGGTTTCAGAGTAGGACTCTGCATCGGGATTAATCTGTACAAACATGAGCGTTTTCGCTTGACCACCTAGAGGTTCAAATAAAGCAAAATTGTGATTAACTAGGATCATCAGAAAATAGAATAATAAAGGTCCAATCAAATACAAAAACAAGGAAGCACCTAAAGAACTTTGGAGAACTTGGGTTAGTTTGCTATTTCTGTAAGGAACATGCGAATTCTTCTGTGCAAGAGCAAAAATTACATCCCCGAGAGCCGATAATGATTTATTTATATGTTGCGCCTCCTTCAGCCTATCTCCAGTTGCCTCTGAGCGGTCCACCCTTTCACTACCTGCAAGATCTATTAGATGAAGACTACCACGCAAGATAGCATCTGTCTCCAAGTCCACACCACGAATGTGAATCGTCAGCACACTGCACAGCATCAGTAATTACATGAAATGTATTCTCCAAGTATGAAATTGAATGACAAGTGAAAACATGGTTAGAATACTACCTATGAGATCTGCTGCTTCTTTCATTCAGGGCTGTGGCTCCAACTGTCCTGTTTGCCAATCCAATCTTCATCAAATCCAGGACATCACTAGTAGATCTAACATAATTCATGCAGGCATCTGGGACTGCCAGCCCATTTGGTTGAGTGGTGTTCCAAATCCCAAGTGTGTGCAAGTCAAAGGAAACAATTTTTTTTTCCATAAAAAAAAAAAAAAAAATCAAAAGGACGCTTTGCTTATGCTTAAACAAAGACTCTTGTGTCGAAGGTACGTTAGGTTTGAACTTACAGATAAAAGAAAAATTTTCTGGGAGTTTTATGGTCCGGGTGGTGTTGTGGGCAATTTGGTAGGAAAAACCA